CATTCCTGCCCCAAAATAGCCCTGATCGTATGTTCGACGGTTTTGATTTTATCATACGAGCATCTGCATGTTCCGTCAGAGTATGATACTCTATTATGTCTGCCCTCCAAAACCGCCGAGGGAAGAACGTCTTGCCAAAGTAGAAGCTCTTCTTAGTTTTGGGACTGCCAGCTGATACTGACAAAAAATATTTCGGCAGTTGCATCGGGAGGGCGATTCCCGAATGGTGTGTCGAGCATGTGCTGTGCACCCTAACAGATGTGGTACTTGTAACACCAACCTCCTTACACATTTTGGAGCAAGGGTCTGATTCAGTATAAGGCAGCTTGGTGTGTTCAGGTGGTACTCGCCCACGTGGGACTGCAGAAAACGCCACAACAATGAAAACGGGGTCGCACTTATAGAACCATCCCTCCCTCCTTTCCGCACCATGGGCTGCTCATCCATTGCGATAAGCCGTCTCGCTTGCGAAATCTGGTTGGACGAAGGTGCAACCAAACTGTTAGATTAAGCGAAACAGGGAGGGTCAGAGTGACATCCATCTCCTGTTACCCCGGGCCCGAGTTCTCTCCTGGCAAAAACTTCAGTTCCAAAGTGAAGGGTTCGGGTTGAAGCAGCTGGTCATTGAAGCAGCTGGTCGGCGTGTGCCCTGGTCCCCGTGTCGTCCATCCACCTGTTATCGCGGTGGGGGGCGTGGGGAGAAGAAATGGCTAAGAACGGAAGGATGGCCCTGCTGGATCGGGCCCAAGCCCCGTATGCAGCGTGGGCAGGTTTACTCGGGAGTAAGGGCCAGTGAGTCAAGTTGATCATTCTCCAGGAGTTCAAAGGTGAACCGGCTTGGAACATCATCCTCTGGAAGGGGCTGTTTGCGCTGGAAGAAAGGGGACCTGGCGGCTGGTGGCAGATGGAGTGACTGGCCGTATCGGTTGCATCGGTCTGATAACTTCATTGGCCCCCAGTTTGTTTTATGCACCCGGGGCAAAGGGGAGGGGCTTTGACCTTTAAAAACCCGAACGGTCTGGGCCCTGGAGAGCTGCTTTCCATCCTTGCCTGCCTGTATAGTAAGATCTTCCCCCAGACTTCTGAAATACAACGGCTGGTGGCAGGGCCTTTTCTAGAGTGGCACCAAAAGTGTGAAACTGGTTACCTGCGAGAGGTCCACCTCACTCCCCTGTTAATGGTTCACTGCCCATTTTTTGGTTCTATCATTGCAGCTTTCCTTTGAACCCCTGTCACCGCCGCTGTCATTTTAGTTTCTTGTCCTGTTCTCAAGACTAGCTTCCGTTGCGTTCTTTTGTTTACTGCTAGCTTTGTGTGTGTCTCTGACCCGTTTGGTGTAGTGGTTAAGTGCGCAGACTCTAATCTGGGAGAACCGGGTTTGATTCCCCACTCCTCCACTTGTAGCTGCTGGATGACCTTGGGCAAGCCGTAGTTCTGTCAGAGCTGTTCTTGAAAAAGAGCAGTTTCTGTCAGAGCTCTCTCAGCCCCACCCACGTCACAGGGTGTCTGTTGTGGGGAGGGGAAGGGAAAGGAGTTTGTAAGCCACACTGAGACTCCTTTGGGTAGTGAAGGGTGGGGTATAAATCCAATTTCTTCTTCTTCTGTGTGATTTTTTTTAGTTTGGTTCATGATGAACTTCACATGAGCTGCCTGAAAAATTTTTATTTTTAAAAAGCAGGTTGCAAATATTTTAATAAGTAACCTTTCTCCACTGTCTGATGGTTGTTTTTTGTTTGTTTGTTTGTTTTTTGGGGGGGAGTCTTGAACCAATGGGAACAATCCAGCTACCCTTTTGAGATGGCCGCTGATGGGTTTTTCATTCGATTCCCAGTTTTGACCCTGCCTGGCTAGCAAACAGGTCATTCTTGGATTCGCCTCTTCTTTTTTATATGTCATGCAGGGCTCTAGTCGGGGGGGAGCTCTCAGGTACGGAGCTCCGGAAGAGAACCTCTAGGGGGCGGGGCGGTCACGTGGTGAAGCCCCGCCCCCTTCTTTACCCCGCCCTCTGCTTCGATCCTCATTCCGTTTGGGAATGAGGATGAAGCAGGAGGGTAAGTAGCCGGGCCTTCTGACACACTTCCGGTGATGTCAGGGGGTGTGGCCTTCTGTCACTTCCCGTGATGTCAGGGGGCGTGGCATATGCAAATAAGTTATGCTAATGAGTTATGCTATTGAGCTCCGGCAGCTCTTTTTCTACAACAAGACCCCTGATGTCATGTATGTTTAGCTGGTGTCTGTGGATTTCCTGATAAACTCTAATAGCCATCAACCCCCTTTGCTGCACGAGGGTAACCAGACATTTCCTGTTTTTCCTTCCTTTTTAACCATGTGCCATGCAACCTGACGTTTAGGAAGTCATCTAAAGGGTGCCTCTGAGCATGCGGAGAGCGTTTTTTCTCCACAACAGCTTTGCAGGGATTCTAGTGGGAGGAGCATAACTTTCGGGCACTCATAAGCCCCAATGCCACTTAGATAGGTTGGGAAATACTTGGAGATCTGTGTGTATGGGGGGGGAGCCTGTGGAGGACAGGGCTTATGTAGCGGGAAGGACTTCAGTGGGGGAGTCCACCCTCCAAAGTGGCCATTTTCCCCATGGGGAACTGAGAGCCGGTTTGGTACAGTGGTTAGGGGAGTGGACTCTAACCTGGTGAACCAGGTTTGATTCCAAACCCCACCACATGCAGCTGCTAGTGTGACCTTGGGCCAGTCACAAGTTCTCCCAGAGCTGTTCTCTCAGGAGCAGTCCTCGAAAGAGCTCTTTCAGCCCCACCTACCTCACAGGGTGTCTGTTGTGGGGAGGATTGGAAACTGCTCTGAGACTCCTTTGAGTAGTGAAGGGCAGGGTATGAATCCAATCTCCTCCTCCTCCTTCTCCTCCTCCTCCTCTGTCAGCTGGCGATCAGTTGTGATTCCGGGAGATCTCCCGGTCCCACCTGGAACCTGGCAACCCTTGCATCTCGCTTTTAAAAGAAAACAAGCCTTGCATTGTGTTGATCTTTAACGAAGAATGTAATGCCACAAGGCAAGAGCCAAGCTCGTCCAAGGGGGCTCGACTTGGCTGCGCGAGGCGTGAGTTCGAATGCCCCGGCCCTCGGGGCGGTAGGCCTCACAGGGTTGTTGTGAGGCCAGAAGGGCGGAGCCACGTCAGCTGCCCTGAGCTCCTGGGAAGATATTTTT